GGTAAGTAAGGTATTTATTTGTATTTCAATAGTTCGTTTAACGTTGATAAATTGAAATCCAACTTAATTATTAGGAATAGCGAATTGTTTTAAAGAGGTTTTAGGAATTATTGGATAATAGTGTCAACCACTCAACTACATACTACTTCCTTCTCGTGTATTTGTTTGCAAACTATTACTTTCTATCATAACGAAATAAACGCAACACATGACAAGACAACCCTAGTGCGACGGCCGAGCGTGCGAGCGAGCAAGGTATGCGAAGCGAGGTACATACATGAGTTTACCTTCTGTTATATTTTGTGCGAAAACTTAAGAATAAATATTAATGAACAGTTTAATCAACATTACACGCGTGAAATTTTGACACGAAAATGCATTAATATTTGGTGTAAATCATTTTTTTAGTGTAAATATTTACTAAAATTATAATTTTCTTTGAATTAAATTATCATAAAACTGCACAATCCATTTGTTATGTTTAGTTTTTCACTACGGCTTAGCGAAAAATATTTGTCTGTAATTGACAAAAGAAAACGCGCTTTTCATAATAGAAAAAATTGACATAAATAGTTATCTGACTTATGAAATCTATCATTCAATGTTATTTATTATAATAATAGTAACAAAGTTTATCAGATATCTTTATAAGGCAGTTAACAAGACATTTCTGATTAAATTGACTTGTTATTAGCAATAAGTAATTTTCTTTAAGTAGCCAGCCATAATATGCGTATATCAATTACTTTTGAGTTTGGACATTGTACACCTATACATATAAAGCCTAGTGATTTTCTAATCAGCGTGAAGGCCACGGCTGGTCACTGGCAGGCCGAAGCAGGTCGTTGCCACAGGCTGTCGGCCATCGGTCATCAGGCAAACTTATTACTATTCTTGTACGTAGCAATTGAAAGCACCATAGAGCCCGATTCTAGGAAATTATGTAGGTATATTACATCAAATCGCTTTTATCTTTTTTCATAGGTAATAAAATTAACGTGTCGTAAAAATAAATTAAAAGGATTTATTACGGTAATGCAGTTGTGATGACGATTTAGTAAACCGTTTATTATGTGGTTTTATTTATACTAAGTACTAAGTAAGTACATATTCCTTATTTTTGTCTCATCGTAAGTACTTACTTGAGTGTAAGCTCCTCATTGTAAGTATTGTACAAACATTATTTGAATTAGAACCCACACACACCTAATTTGAGATCCTTTTCCGTGTGTTACTGTGCGTGACTGTAATTACAAACTACATATAATATGGATTCGGAAACCATTTTAGTTCTAGTTTTGTGTTGAAAAATTCGTCATTAAAAAGTTTCTTAGATTTTCATTAGATAAAACGCCATAGCTGTAAACTTATAATTTACTTACTTTATTTGTGAACTTTAGTAGGTTATGATGCTATTGTTTTCAAACTAAGTATGTTTTTTTTAGGGCTGATTTTTCAATCCTCGGATAACTTATAACTGAAGAATAATTTTGGCACAATGACAGTTTTAGTATGGGAAATATGTCAAAATGACAAGGTTATTCTTCAGTTAAAAGTTATCTGACGATTGAAAAATCAGCCCTTAATAAAGTAGAAGTAATTGTTATTTAATGAAATGGCCTCTACCATTCTCCTCACCAATCTTACGAACCCACAAAGTTTTATCTTCGTACGACCTACAACCAATATTTACACAGGTTTTCATACGTGCCTATTACAGATACTACACTGCCGACAACGGCTTGACTGAACAGATTGTTTTAACGCTATATCCTAACGGTGCTAGCATTAACTTGGTGTCTCATCTTAAACCAAGACCGAGGCCGGATGATCACCGACCCCACAAAGCTTAACAGCTATTAACCGGCACAAAGGCCAGGATGGCAGCTGTTGCGAGCCGCATTGTGTCGCTGATGTATGGACTACGTGATAGCGTGAATGGCAAGCCGATTAGTGTATTCAGTAGGTCTAAGGCGGCTTCCTCATTTGGATGGATAGAGGGTATCAGATTCATAAGCCTAGTAAAGATTGATAATACACTACACAGCGTTTAAATACCCTAATATAAATTTTGCTATAGATAGGTATGTAAGTACTAAGTACTTGTTTAAAAAAGTTAATATTTTTGTTTTTATATTCATGAAAACAAAATACTAAAAGCAAATATTTAAAGATACATAACATTAAATGATTACATCTCGTGTTATTCAACTTGTATATCAGAGGGATTACCACGTTGGGCGCCAATTAGAATAATTACGCGGACTAAATTTATCTTGAATGAAAAAGAGATCCTAATTAAAAACAATCGATTTGTTGATGACCTGCAATGTTAATGAAGTATCGCTCAATGATTTTGTTATTGTTTTAAATTATCTTTTTTTAATTAAAGTTACCTACTGTTTAATCATGTGGGTTACGTAAGGTCAGAAACTTATTAAAAACTTTATCACTATTCCACCAGGTATTATACCTAACAGAGTCTAGTTTAGTTAGTAATGACTACAACCTTGTTTAATTATCTTTTTTCTGCACTTATCATAAATAATTACGAGTGTTTGCTTTTATTACTGCACACTTGTGAAGCAATTGTTGCGTGAGCGACATCATGTATGCATGCAAATAACTTGCCATGCATGATTGTACTTTATTATCTTTCTATAACGTGTTCATTAAAATGTTATACTGTCACACCATAATAGTCGGCGATGCACGACAGTCGTTAAAACAGAATAATTAAATGTGTCACTTAAACATAATGTAATAGATACTACGTACCTATTGAAAAGCTGCTCTACTGCCACTTTCTACGGTTGCTTTTGGTTATGCCATTCTGCTACAAGTAATATCAGCTGTTTCTGTTCCAAATTAAACTTGAGTACCTACCGTTTTGCTAACAATACTCGTAGATATAGAGACTCATGAGACTCTTTCATGAATACATGAACAGACACGTAGGTGGATAAGATTAAATAGGTCCATTTATTCAATCGGTTCATATAATGAAAGCTATTTACTTACACTCGTGATTCAACGTCGTAGGGATGGCCGTTGCAAATCAACAATTTTATCGAATTCGATTGTTTTAGGATTGGTTGAAATGCTCCATAGACCTTCATTTTCTAGAGATTTTTTAATGCATAACAAGGCCGCAATCGCACCTGGTGTTAAGTAAGATGCAATATAGGATGGTACAAACTATCTGCCCTGTACGTGCCTATTCACTCTCGCCTTGAAAATGATAGTGAGAATTATAATTATTGGACTAGCTACTTATTAGTTATTATAATGCAAATTAAGTCGCAAGTTTATCTACTTTACCCGCGAGGATTTCAGTCTGTAACAAAAGTGAACATTTTACACACTATTTTTGTATAACATTCTTATTTAAAATCCAATCTATCTCTACATTAAAATGAATCAAAATTAACCGCTAAAGTGTAAAAAAACCTGCATGAACACGTAATAAAAGGGCCAACAGAGTATTTTCTTAAATTATAAAGTTACAATTGATTTGAATTATAAATAAATCTTGGTAGATGTTGAGTAATTGACTATCGCTATCGATGTTTAGAGTCAAAGGCTCCCAACCTTTATATCCTTAATTCGTGCAGTCAGCCCGCCCACCGAATCCGGCGCAGCACGCATGCCGCATTAAATCTTTATTTAACTATTGTAGGTATGTCTGTCACAAATGTATAGACCAGTTCCGGTCTCCGACTCCACTTGTGGGGAAATTAGTGTAGGACGAACAGTAATTTATTGAGTACTAGCTTTTGCTCGCGGCTTCACCCGCGTGAAATTTAATTTGTCACAGATCGTCATAAATTATAGCCTATATGTTATTCCGGGTTATAAACAATAATACTGTAAAGTTTCATCAAAATCCGTACAGTAGTTTTTGTGTGAAAGAGTAACAAACATGTTGACATCCAGACCAGACATCCATACAAACTTTCGCATTTATAAATTAGTAGGATTAGTAGGATATGATTCATTTTGGAATGTAACAAAAATTGTCTAGTGACAAGACATCGTTCCAACTTCTCTTTCTTTAATTTGAAGATACGAAAACAGGTCCACTAGTCCGTTTTTATAATACTTTCGATTTCGTGATCGCTTTGCAATATCTCCAAGCTAAACAATACTGTAATTAATGTTACACCTGCGGCACTAGTTACTCACTAATTACAAAATAATACTACAAATATATTTATCGATTTCTGCACCAAATCTTAATTGTTTTGATTGGTCATTGTAGGATATTCGACATTCTACAGTAATTCGTGTTCTTTCAAACAGAATAATTTTCCAAACCCGTTATTTCAGTAACTAGGTTTGAAAGTAGAGACAAGTGGCGACCTCATTGTAAGGCCATTGCCGTTCGGTTTCAATACACTCATGAATTTTTCAGTGATCTGAACACAGTTTACCTAAATGTCATTTTCTCTATTATTGGAAGTTGTTAGTAAGTAAAGGTAGAGTGCGCAGTGTTATCCTCAATGAAGTGAATCTAGAGTTCTAGACTCTTAGACACAATATTAAAAAAAATGTTGAATTTCTAATCAATTTATTGGGAAGTTTTCAAAGTCATTTTGATCAATTTTGTTAATTGGGATCCCATTCACTGTACGCATTAAATAACTTTTTATGAATTGTCTCAGTTAATGTTCCTGGGGAACAACATAGCGTAGATATAGACTCTTAAAATAAAATTACAACACAATATTATTGTAAAATTTAAACTAAACTTTTGCTAAATGCATACTTATCCTCAGCAACACGGTGTTTACCTAATTGAAAGTTGAGAATTATAATAAATATGTTTCGTTTGCTTTAGCCGAAAGACGTCCACTGCTGGACAAAGGCCTCCCCCAAGGAATAATATAAACTCATAATCAAAGATTTTTGCAGTCAGAAGTGGTTTTGACCGGGTTTTACTGTAACATGACATGCTACTTACACATTGTATAAGTATTTAATTGGAATTTTCTTTGCAGCCGGACCCAGAGCCGCCCTCGGACGGGCCCGCGGCGTCCCCGGACAAGCCCCGGGCCTTAGACTGCGGCTGGGGCGTGTTCCGGCCCGCCTGGCTGCAGCGCTTCCGCACAGCCAAGTGGGCGCTGTTCTGGCTGTGCTGGGCAGGCGCTATACAGGGTGAGTGGCTGAAGCAGACTAGATAAGACCTGGACCAGGCCCGGTTAAGATACTAGACCCGGGTAAGATCCGTACTAGATCCGGATTAGATCCGTACTAGACCCGGATAAGATCCGTACTAGACCCGGATAAGATCTGTATTAGTATTCCCCCGGGACAAACTTGACATGCACTGAGTTTTTATCGGCGGTCAAGCTGCAGATCCTGGCTACACAGGAGTTGCAGCGGTGGGAACGAGAGGTGGGAATAGTGCTGAAATCCGCAGTAGACCTTAATGACATCGGAAGTAGATCCGGATACGATCCGTACTGAGTCCTGATATTAACCGAACTAGACCCGAAAAAGATACGTACTGAAACCGTAAAAGATCTGGAAGCAAGCCGACTTGGACAGCATATTCTGGAGAGCTTGTATAAAGTCTCGTCTATGTGTGTGTAGCACAAAGCTAGGGCTCTAGCTATCTATAAAGATAGGATAGCGTTTGTTGTTTATCTACCTACGGGAAATGAAAAATTACGTAGAAACAAAAAAATAAATATCGTTTTAAACACCTAACAAGACCTAAGAGTAAGATAGTATTAAATTAATTTCCATTCCTGTTACTGTAGTATGTAGTTTATCAAATCACAATAGTCAAATTACAACTTAGCATAACGGCAGCATAATTACCTCTCACACGGTGTTATTACTTACAACGTTTTTTTGTTTGTCATCACGTCGCATGTCAATATTTATATGCTCTTCGCAGCAACGAGTCGAGTCAGTGAATTTTAAATGTATATTTTAATTTTTTACTATTTATCATCACGATATCACCCGTGATATCACAAACTGACTATTTAGACAGTTAAAAGATAGCCTTTTTTATTCATTTATATCTATCACAACAGAAATTGAGTAGCAAAAACACAGGTGTATTCATTTTACGTAAAAACTAACAGAAATAATTACACAGAAATAGATAAATTACCCACAGTCAATTACCGACCGCTTTAGTGTAACTAGATAGAGTTATCGAACGCTGAATGTAAGACAAAACAAGTGATTGACATACTTATAACAAGTCTATAAAACGACTATGCATGTAACCAAGTTTTCGTACATGTAGCTAATACTAAACATACTTACTTACTTTCGTCACAATGATTCTAATTGCAACATTAAACATTTTCTTAGTGTTTTGATGATTAAGTTTAATATGTCTGCCTTTAAGATTGACGAGAGGAGGAATCTATATCTCTTTAAAACGTCTTTAAGAGCGGAAACATGCAATTATTTCATAATAGGTACCTATTTATAGCTTATTTAGAGGAGTTAATTGGGATACCATAAGGACATAACTTTAGAAGAGCTAATAATTAAGTGTAAACTTATGAGTGACGTTTAGTTATAATAGGCTAGATGACAAAATTTCAATTATGTCCGTCAGACAGATAATTAGAAAATATTAGACGCATATTTTATTTTCATTTCATTATTTTCTTTCATCTATACTTATAATAAATCTGTAGAGAGGTCAATTCTGTACATTAAATATATTTTCAAAATAACTATCAGGGGGTGATTAGTGATCGATACTGATGCCAAAAATGCAATCAGTAAAATTTTTGTCTGTCTGTCTGTCTGTCTGTCTGTCTGTCTGTCTGTCTGTCTGTCTGTATGTTCCTTATAGAAACAAAAACTACTCGACGGATTTTAACGAAACTTGGTACAATTATTCTTCATACTCCTGGGCAGGTTATAGGATACCTAGGAATTCCCACGGGAGTGGGAATTAGCGGGAAAATCGTTTTGTATGAAAAATCTGAACCGCTTAAGTTAGACGCTTGAAATTCGGCATGCAGGTACCTTAGTAAACTTAAAGCTTAGTTACAACAGGATATTGCAAAATTCCCACGGGAACGGGAGTTAGCGGGAAAAAACATTTGTATGAAAAATCTAAACCGCTTAAGTTAGACGCTTGAAATTTGGCATGCAGGTACCTTAGTAAACTTGAAGCTTAGTTACAACAGGATATTGCAAAATTCCCATGGGAACGGGAGTTAGCGGAAAAAAACATTTGTATGAAAAAATCTAAACCGCGTAAGATAGATGAAGGGGGTAAAACGGGATCCACGCGTACGAAGTCGCGGGCGGCCGCTAGTAATTAAATAATAACAGTGCTACATCGAGTTGAAATGGTGCGATACGTCACGCTTCAATAGAATTTTTACTCAAAAGTGACGTCACGCGACATTTCAACTCAATACATATAATACTGTAATTATTCGATTAGGGAAAAAATAAAAAAATATTCGTCCAATATTTTCTAATTATCTGTCTGACGGACTAAATAGAATTTCGATTTCATTAACCAGTCATCATCCCTATTAAACAACCTTAAAATTAAGCCCTGTGTGTATGATACCTGTTCAATAGTGTATTGGCGACGAGCCTGTTATTGAGAATGTATGTCATAACACGCGTCATAATGGCCCATTAACACCGCGTTTGGTTTCACCTCGCGTGCGCAGACGCAGATTGCGTCCACAATTTCTGGCAGGGCTGTCTCAAAAGACTTAATGTAGGTTTAGGTATTTATTAATTTCACTGTATCATTTTCTTCCAAAGAGCATAGTTACATAAATTAAGCTTGCATTCCTCACGAAGACAGTTCTTAGTCCTCTAAGAGTACCTAATATTCATAACTTCTATACTAGGATTTTTTTTGTCTTAAAAGAGGATATTTTTTTTATTTATCATCACCATTATTATGAAGTATTTCTTTCCCAACTTCATGACTGTGTTCCTAATTTAACTAATTTTCATTCCATTCGGTAGTTTGGTAACCCTGTAGGTGATATACCGTGATACGCAAATAACTCAAATCATTTTTCTCGCTAAAACCAGTGCAGTGTCGCAATTTACTACTAGAGTATGCTAATTACCTTACTAGTCAGATAATTATAAATCAAGCTGTTGAAAGTGCTGGTTTTAATTTACTCACATGAAGTCGAGGTCTTTACTTTTTTAAATCAATGAAATTTATGTTAAAATAAATTGAAATAATTTTAAAAACTACTGATAGGTATTCGTTCTTTAAAAAGCCGTTAGCGTTTTCTGTATCACAGGCCATTTATAGTTTATCTATTTTTATAATTAGAATTAAGTATTTATGACAGTTATTTTTAACATGAAGCAAATTAAATAATAAATGACCATTGTAATCACTTTTCACAAAAACCTTTATTAATTCTGCTAAAATTAAAAAGTTTACATTCCCCGTTCCTCGAAATTCAGCAGCACTTAATTCAAGTCATTCGCACCTCAAAATGGCCGCTGTTCCCGCCTTCATTAACCGCGCAAACACCGAAAAGGGCTAATGAAATAATAAAACACTGTAATTAATATAAAAAACACAAACTACAGCTTCCTGGGGGAGCTAACTAGATTTGGGCGATTTGCTCTTGGAATTAACTCGGGGCAAGTTGGGGCGAGAGCGGGTTATTTAGGAGCCATTTTAGTGTTAATTAATTGAATTTTGGCGCCATTTTCGTTCAATCAAAGACGATAGGTGAGGTTCTAATGCAATGACCAATTAATAGGTTACGTTTAAGTTTTTGTGTAGTGAATAAAGTTTTTAATTATTTTATTAGACAGAGCTCGCATAAAGTCAACGGTATTTTTAAAACATACGGTCACCATTTTCCTTGCTGTTTTCAACCTTCGTTTATACAAACCTCTATGGAACACGTTGATGTATAAAAAAAAGAAAATTGCAATAGAGGACAGAAATTAGTCCAGTCAATGAATGCCTTAACGACGGTGTAGAGAGAAATCCGTGGAACACAATTTCTGACCTCGGGACTTTATTTAGCCTAGTTAGGTGGTGAACATAGCAAAAGTCCCCGCCCTTAGCCCTTGAGCCGGCGGGGAGAGGGGGGTTTAAAGGTATAACTTTTCGGTTTTTCGCTTAATCCTCGGAAACTATGCGTCCTAGTGACATGACTACTATGAACCAAAAAAAGCTTATTCAATTTGCTACAGGTGAGACCGTCATGTTTTTCTTTATCTTGTATAGTTTTTACGGCATCTGCTCTAGAAGGTCTGTAAAATTGGAAATTTTATTGTTGTCTTACATGTTCCTTTCAGGAGAAAATCGACTAAATCAACATTGAGCAAACACTATAGACACGCGGGAGCATGTTAAGCCTAGTTCCAGGGAGGGGACTGCATCGTGCTTATATTTAGACGAACCAATTAGAGCCACTTTTGACTCCTCATCATTCAAAAACTACTGTGCATTAACACTTCAAATTTGGCTCATGTATTGAGACTTGCAAGATATACATCAGCTTCAAATTTCATAAATATACCTCAAACGGTTATTTAGGTATTGACGTTCAAAAATCGATATTTAGAGCACTACTATCTATCTATCACATGTGAAATGTTAAAATTTACTGGTTTTTTATTTGTTCCTTTGTATTTACATAACTACCTTTCTGGATGCCAAATTTGAACCTTCGAGGTCATCTGGAAGTGGTTAGAATTTGGTCTATAGGTCAGACATGTAGATTTTTGGACGTCAATATCTAAAGAACCGTTTGAGGCATATTTATGAAATTTGAAACTGATGTATATCTTGCAAGTCTCAACACATGAGCCAAATTTGAAGTGTTAATGCACAGTAGTTTTTGAGTGATGAGGAGTCAAAAGTGGCTCAAAGTGATTCGTCTAAATATACGCACGGTGTAGTCCCCTCGCTGGAACTAGGCTTAACATGCTCCCGCATGTCTAGAATGATTGCTCAATGTTGATTTAGTCGATTTTCTCCTGATGGGAACATGTAAGACAAAAATAAAATTTCCAATATTACAGACCTTCTAGAGCAGATGCCGCGAAAACTATACAATTTATAGAAAAACTTGTCTATCTCATCTGTAGCAAATTGAATATGCTTTTTTTGGTTCAAAGTAGTCATGTCACTAGGACGCATAGTTTCCGAGGATTAAGCGAAA